GAAGCCGGTGAGGGCCCCTCGGGCGGGCTGCCGGAGCAGAGGGAGGCCTGGGAGCATTTACCAAAGTGGCCGGCAGCCACTGAGCCGTACCCTCCTGCTTCCCCGGCAGAGAACTCCAACTACTTAGCAATTCCTGTGAAAGCCCCCAAATCTCCTCTCCGACCAAAGCTGCCCTCGATCCCCAGCCCAGCCAGTGCATCCTTTGGGACCCCCTCAGTCCCCAACATGACCAACTCATCTTTTGGCTACCCATCAGCCTCCAGCCTGGCCAGCACGTCATTTGGGACTCCCTTAGTCTCCAACCCCACCAGCAAGTCTTTTGGGACCCCCTTTCCTCGATCCCCAGCCCAGCCAGTGCATCCTTTGGGACCCCCTCAGTCCCCAACATGACCAACTCATCTTTTGGCTACCCATCAGCCTCCAGCCTGGCCAGCACGTCATTTGGGACTCCCTTAGTCTCCAACCCCACCAGCAAGTCTTTTGGGACCCCCTTGATCCCCTACCTGTGCGGCCCATCCTTTGGGACCCCCTTGACCTCTAATCCATCCAGTGTATCCTTTGGGACCCCCTTGGTCCCCCATCCATCCAGCGCATCCTTTGGGACCCCCTTGGTCCCAAATCCATCCAGCACATCCTTTGGGACCCCCTTGGTCCCCCATCCATCCAGCGCATCCTTTGGGACCCCCTTGGTCCCAAATCCATCCAGCACATCCTTTGGGACCCCCTTGGTCCCCCATCCATCCAGCGCATCCTTTGGGACCCCCTTGGTCCCAAATCCATCCAGCACATCCTTTGGGACCCCCTCAGTCCCTAATCTGGCCAACTCATCACTTGGGATCCCCTTGATCCCCAACCCAGCCAGCTCTTCCTTTGGGTCCCCCTTGGTCACCAACCTAGTCCCCGCTTCCCTTGGGCACCCATCAGTCCCCAACGTGGCCAGCTCATCCTTTGGCTCCCCTTCGGCCCCCAACCCGGCCGGCGCTCCACTGGGGACCGGTGTCCCCCCCGTGGCCAGTGGGGAAGCGCCCTGGAGCAAAGCCAGCCCTGAGCCCTCCCTGCCCCGGCCCCCCGAAGGCCTGGTCGCTGGGGAGCGCCTGGTGCCGCTGCCCCCAGCCCAGCCTCAGCCTCACCTCGAGGACGCTCCCCATTTCCTAAGGAGGCCCGACGGTGCCTCACCGAACAGTAAGAGCACACCGAGCCCCACCAAGCCCTTTGCACCCCACCTGCCTGCGCACCGGAGGATGCTCGTCGATCCCGACAGTGGGAAATGCTACTACATGGAACCGCCGCGGCAGCCTCAGCTGAAAACGCTCTACGACCCTGAGACGGGGCAGTACCTGGAGGTGCTCATCCCACCGGTGGCATCACACGCCGGGCTCTACCAGGCTCCTTTCAACCCCCTGGTCATGGCCCCAGGGGTCTACGGTCCAACCTACGTGCCCTGCGGTGGCTTCCCAGGGCTCGCGGCACCCCTGCCGCCTGCCGCCCCCTCCCCGGCGCACCCCAACCTGCCAGCTGCTGAAAACCCCGGCTTCTCCAGGACCTTCAGCCCTGCTCCCAAGGGCGAGGGGCCACCCACTGCCGGGGGTCCTGACTGCGGGCACCTGGAGAGCCCGTAC